TTATACAAAAGTTCAAAATCATAACTGCTAAAAATATTCAGAACTTACTTAGTTTTAGAAGAGGGGAATGGAGGCTATTTCAACCAATTAAATTAATTCATTTGGCCTAACATTCAATGAAAAAATTTGACAAATTCATTTAATTGTGATTAAAAAAAACCAATGGACAAACAAACATAAAAAAAAATATATACATAAAGTATTTTTTAGTTCAAATTATATATTAAAAATATAATTTAAAAACTGAAATTATTGATATATTTTTAATAAAATTTTTCTCTATGTTTATTTATTAATAATAATTTAATAATTTTAATGCCCCAACCGCACATTAAACTCATCTTTACTATTCCCCTTGCTAGGAGGTTTGACCCAAATAAGTCTGGCTCAAAGCCGTAGAAATTTTATACAGTTGGACTTTGAATCCTGTCCAGTCGACGGTGGGTAAGACCTCTTTCCCATAAAAACTGAAGAAAACGAACCGCCAACCACGCGGGTTGTGCGTCTAAATATGGCGGTATCTAGGAGTATATGTATCTGGAATCAGCAACTAAAATATTTCTTGAACTACCAAATCATCTCTACTTCTCTTAATGTTGTTAGAGAAATTTTTTTATATATATAAAGACTATACATCAAATTTTAAATTTATAATTAAGAATATACGTAACTTTTTTTTTTATTAAATCACATAATAAAAAGTAGGCAGAAATCTTGTGTTGTTGAATTTAGAGGAAAATCGAAAGAATCCAGAAGGGGAGGAAGACAAATTCGAGGGGGGATGGGAGGATTTTAGCCTTACCCACAACAGTGGGAAAGAAGAGAAGAAAAATAAATAGGGACTGCTGTGGAGAAAAATCAGAAGAAAAATGAGCTCCTGGTAAAGAGAGGAAAGGAGCCTGACCGCACGGTAGAGCCTTCAATTGGTGCTTGAATTTTGACAGCCAGATACGGAGAGCAGTTAGGTAAGTAGTGTTATTTCCTTTTTCTTGGACTGTGTAAAGCATTTAATTCGATTCATACTTCTATCTAATTCCGAATTTCCATTTATTACACCTAGCTAGCTGTGCTGTAGTATTAATTATATAATTAATAATTAAGTCTAGTACCCTGCTTGGGTTGCTACCATCTCCTCCTTTCTCTTTTGTTAAAGATACAATTAAACATACCATCGTGAGCCAGTAACATGTCTCAGGTTTTGGCGTGATTGATCTGGTTTGGATGAATTTTGATCAAGTTTTGATTTTTACTCAGTTAGTATCATAATTTA